TACAACAGTGAACAAGCATTGCTGCACTGGCAACATCAGTTCCCTCCATTGGCTTGGGAGGGCAGCAGTTGTGCTTTCCTGTGGCCATGAAGAATACCATAAAGTTTTGTAGCCATTCCAGTACTCAGCAACCACATATCGGAGAACATTATCTAAGGCAACAAGATTTGAATGCAGGAGGGAGGTACTGTAAAAACATTTACTCTCAGCAAAATTCCACCTATAATTACAACTCACTCCATCTCCACAAAAGATACTCTATTTGGAAATACATCTCCACCCAACAAAGTATACCTGCATCTTCTTCCCTGTACAAAGTGCTGCTTCTAAAATCAGTGCCCTCCCTTGCCTGTAACCCTCAGCTCATGGTTCAGCTGTCTGTCATCCAGGACCTATACTGGTGCAGCCCAGTTGTGTGCTAATGACTCAGCTTTACTAAGAAGTTTGTTATTTAGGTGTGGAAAAGCACACAAGTGAAGGCCATGCAAAAAAGAAAAGTAAAAACACAAACAGTGAAGTTATTGTCAGGATGGAGTAGTCAGCATAGCAAGGCTTCAGGAGGAGAAACACTTGCACGAGGTATAAAATCTCAATTTAAAAAAAGTGAAGAATTGGAAGACAACAACTAGCAACATCGAGGCTGAGCCTCTTTTAGGGAGCAACAAAGACCAGCCCTCCTCCACTTGAGTAATGCCTGGCCAGCAAAGACTCATCAGGGTGGTAAGCATGTGAATTCTTAGCCTTGTAGCATGTTAACCCTATCTCTCTGCTGTGTGTATTCAACAATAAGTAATTACTGGAAGCACCTAAATTGTGTATACCCAGTTTGAAGAGTCACTTCATGTAAGAGCAAAAGTTGCCCAAAGAGGTAGGAAGAGTTCCATGCCAAACTAAATGAAAGGTTTTCCCATGCTAATTTTTTGTGCATCCCCTCACTCATACCACGCTGCAGGGCTCTGCAAAGCAGTACCTCTGAGGCTTTCTGAGGAACTATGGCACAGTGTCCACCAGATGGTGAGAGGTGCAAAGGGTCAAACAGGCTGGTTTTGGTACCAAGTTACTCCCAGTCTCAGCTTTGCTTGGGAGATGATGCCAAAGAGCACACCTTCCAGTATAAGACATACTTGGGATGCAGGTGAAAAGGGTGGAAGAGAAGCAAAGGAACCCATCCAGGGGAAACACTGTTTAGAGCTCAGCTACTGCAAGCAACACTGGAAGCTGCTTCATTTGTGCCTCCCTATTTTCATGGTAACAAGTGTCTGGCTCTCAGGTCAGGCTAACCCTCACAGAACCACAGAATCGTTCAGGCTGGAAGTGACCACTTGAGATCATCTGGTCCAACCCCCTGCGCAAGTAGGGTCAGCTAGTGCAGGTTGCACAGGACCATGTTCAGTTGGGTTCTGTATATCTGTCCCCACCAACGGAGACTACACAACCTCTCCAGGCAAGCTGTGCCAGTGTGTGACCATTCTGACAGTAAACAAGTATTTTCTTGTGTTCAGATAGAATTTCACATTTTTAATCTGTGCCTGTTGCCTCTTGTCCTCTCACTGAGCACTGCTGAGAAGAGTCTGGTTCCTTCTTCTTCGTTACCACCCATAAGGTATTTATGCACATAGATAAGATCTCCCTGAGCTTTCTTCTCTCCAGGCTGTAAGTCCCAACTCTCTCAGCCTCTCCTCATACAAAAGATGCTCTGCTCCCTTAATTATCTTTGTGGCCCTGTTCAGGTGGAAGATACAGAAAACTATATCTTCCTTATACTGAAGAGCCCAGAACTGGACACAGCACTCCAGCCATGGTCTCATCAGGGCTGAGCAGAGAGGGACCTCCATCAGCCTGCTGACAACACTCACCCTCATGCAGCCCACGATGTTGTTGGTCTTCTTTGCTGTGACAGTGCACTGCTGCCTCATGGTCAGCTTGTTGTCCACCAGGACCCCAGGGTCCTTCTCTGTAGAGTTGCTTTCCAGCCAGTCAGTCCCCAGTGTGTGCTGATGCCTAGCTTTATTCCTCCCCAGAAGCAGAACTTTGTGTTTCCCCTTGTTGAACGTCACAAGATTCCTCTCCTCCCAATTCTCCACTGTGTCCGGGTCCTTCTGAATGCCTGCACAACCCTCCAGTGTATCAGCCACTCCTCCCAGCTTTCTGTTGTTTGCAAACTTGCTAAGGGTACACTCCATCCCAGCATCCTGGTCTTTAATGAAGATGTTAAACAGTACTGGCCCCACTATCGGCCCCTGGGGTACACCACTAGGGACTTGACTCCAGCTGGACATTGTGCCACTGATCGCAACCCTCTGGGCCTGGCTGGGTTCACTTATCTAACTTATACTTCGTTAGCTTGTCCATGAGGATGTTATAGGAGACAGTGTCAAAAGCTGTACTAAAGTAAAGGTAAGCAACATCCACTGTTCTCCCCTCATCCATCAAGCTAGTTAACTCATTCTAGAATGACTGCATTTCCAAATAAATTCTTTCAAGAAGCCCTGGGTTTGTTCTGTGTCATCAAAATTTGTAACTTCAGGTCCATGAACTCCTTCTTGAAAGGTCCCAGGACTTTGAAAACTAAAGAAAGAAGTATTTACAGGAAACTGCTAAGATAAGCCTCAATACAAACATGTTGTGAGCATGGACTGCTTCTCAGTTAGTGATGCCATGCCTGTCAAAACACAGTAGATTAACATGCTTTCAGTTTATCCTGAAAGATGGGGCTTTCTCCTACCAGTGCAAATCTCAGCTTCATAAAATAATCCCTGGCACCTCTATGGTAGACCGACCTCACGACAAGCAGAAATGGCAGACAGCACACAATAATAAAGACAAGGAAGTTTACAGTGCTGGTGTAGCATTAGTATTCAAGACAAGGAGACATAAAAAAACCCTGCTTCAGAACTGAAATGCAAATGCATCCATATTTTTAAAGGTTTTATTTTGCCATCCATAACAGGCACAAGAAAATCCCTTTTAAATGTTATTTATAGTCCAACCCTTTAGAGTTCTACTGCAACAGATGTGATACTTGGTCTCATTTTCTTCCGGGGGGACATAGCTGAATGGGATTTCCTGCAGAGTAAAAAATCTGTAACAGGACTTAGTCTAGTACTGATTGTAAATTGTGCTGCTTTTTACTAGATGTAACTGAAAGAGAACTGATCTTCAAGAAATGCCCAAATGGTCCACTCAGAGTGGACCATTTACAGAGTAAAGGTATGGGAGTATGACAATCAAACAGGCAGAAAGATACAACCTCACATCCATGCTGAGCAAGATGGAGATGAAAGGCGGCTTCAAAAAGGGTCAAAGTGACCTCATCAGTATGCCAGAGGAAAATGACTGGTTTTAACAAAAGACTTTTTATGACCTTTTGTCAGAGGTCAATCCACTTGAGGTCAACAAGTCAGGCATTGTGATGCAGTGAAACCTTGTTTCTACCATTGTGGTTGCAGCAATTCACTATTTCTTCTCACTATTTCCATCTGGCACAGCAAACCCAAGAGCACCTCTTCTTTGGCCATTTTGCTCCCCTTTGAAACTCCACTCTCTCTTACTAAACAGGATCTTGCAGCAGCAAGAGTATACCACAAAGAGTGTCTACAGAGTTTGGGTACCCTTTCTTCATTTTCCTGTATTTTTGGCCAATCTTTGTAGGTTGTAGTGCCAGTAACTGTTGTTTGGGGTTTTTTCTTCTCTTATTCATTTAGCCAAAAAAATAGACAACAGCAGTTTTAGATACATAGCAGAAACATTTCTTAAGCACATAACTAAACATAATAGTGTCTAACACACTTCCAAAGCAAGAAAGTAAGAGGCACAAAACCTGCACGCACTTAAAAAAGTGTGAAAAAAGAGAGGCACATATATCGCTCTAGAAACCTTGTATTGCATATGTACCACTCAGATCTGAAGTGAATATAAGCACACAAATGTAATTCTAATTCAAAATATGGACTTGTACTCTTTATACTGATGCTTTTTCTCTATAGGTTGACTGCATGCTGGTAATTGGTTTAGTCTACATGTGTCATACTAGTGGGCAGAGGCCATTCCTAACTAACCATAAATGTCACAGAAAAGACATATAATGATTGCAAAGGAAATTTAGCAATGCAGTTGGATCTATGTCACACAGATAAGAGCAGAGTAAACCAGCAGAATTGCTAATTACACTGGTTTAATGTAAAACATTTGTGTACATGTAACTGTTTTGTATCATACCTTTGCTGATATCCAATTTTACACATTCTGCTGTTTTGGCTCTCTACTCCAAAACAACAAACAGTTTTGGTAAAAGAAATCAATACAAGCAGAGCTTCCAAGCAGTTTTGCAGCTTTTGGTGGATGATCCAAACTCCTTCAATCCATCGCAGGGCAATAATAAGCTTGGTACAGTTAGGGCCTGTAGGTATCTAAAGCATCTTCATCTCCTCTGCTAGGAGCAGCAGTCTCTTAAAACAACATCTACCAGTTCAAATGAGTCCAGCATCCACTCATATTTCATCACCTATTTTAGGTGACTGTAAATACTTTCAGACCTTCCTTTGTGACCTGCTTTCTGAAAGAGAAGAGCAGAAATGTAAAATATCACAAAATAAGGGCTTTATGTGACCTGAGGGCTGCAAGTATTCCAATCCTTCCCCTCTCAAATTTAACCACAGGATGAATGAGACTAACAGCCTATTTCAGTATTCCCTTTTAGCCATATCTTGGAGACTAGTTTCTATTAATTTCCCCAGTTTGTAGAGTAAAAAGAAAAGGAAGCTGTAAAATTATTTCAACATGTCCCTCACCAACACAGGGTGGTTGAATTTTTTTCTGCAGTTCCTACATATCTGCAGGCCAAACGCCAAGGTTGTGGAGGACATTTGTGGGAGAAAGGCATACTGGCCTTCACATTTCAAGACATTCATCCACTAACAGTGGCCTTGAATTGAAGACGTCTCTCTCTAAGTTCTGAAAGAGATGATAGAGAGGAGAAGCAGGAATAAATGGGGGAACATGCACATTCATACAAGAAGAGGATGTAGAGAAGAAAAGGGAGGTGCAAATATTTCTACATTTCCCAAACTATTCACTGCCTCACAGACTGCCACTGATCCCGACTGAAGACAGATCTTAACTCCTCTCCCACAGGATTTCAGGTAGTGTAAATATTCATATCAAAATAACTAGCTTTACTTTGGAAGTCTTAAAAAATCACATTAAATTCTTTGGAACTTAGCAGTTACATAATGGCGTAAAAGTTACCCAGGGGATGGGAGTGCTCATCTTTTAGTACAAAGTGTAGCCCTTAGGAAAACCCTGTGCCAAGGCACAGTGGTCAGAATGCAAGCCAAGGTTGGGCAAAACCTACACAGCCTGGGAGGGCAGAAAATTTCCTCACCTGTAGGAAGGGTGCCTTAATCACCAGGCTACCAGCTGATTTAAGAGCAGAGGACTGAGAACAGGCTGCAGGAGAGAATACACTCCTACTGATCCTGGAACTGAATACACAAGACAGCATGACTGTAGCACAGTGTTTTGGATGCTCAGCATGGGGTGTATTGGTTCAAGCCTCTGCTTTATTAGTATCAAATAACTACTGGATCAGGCATCCAGACTTTTCCTTTCCCAGATGACCAAAGTGGGTAGTAGACCAGAGAACCTCACAGAAACACACATGTGTTCTCTCTCTCAAGCCTGAGAAATGCCTGATTGCTCGATGCAGATTCTGTTCAGGTACTTTCTGGGAACAGGAGATGGAGATGTTGGTTTGAAATTCTTCAGGCAAAAAAGTTCAGCTCAGCCCTCTTCCCTAGATATGCTCTGGGAGTATCAGCACCTCCAGGCACAGCAGTAAGAGATACCTGATTTGAAGGTCCTAAAAATGCTTAGGCATGAGCTAGGCTGCAGGGCATTCACCTCCGAATGATTCAGAGCAGTTGTGGAGCACTGGAAGGCTTTGAAATCAAAACTCCAGGATCCCAGAGGCTCCAGGCATCTCTAACACTGCATGGCAATGGGCTTTGAGGACTGCAGTTTTTGATTTAAGCATGTAAATTGTGGGTGAAGATAGATTTAAATGTCCAGTTGCTTTTGTTGATAAAATGCTTAACATTTCACCTGATGCCATCTTACCCTGCCTTTAATACATGTTTTAGGGGGAGGCAATGGAAATTTCTGAATTTAACCTGATATTTGTCAACAATGTTAGGTTGATCTAAAACATGCTAATAAGAAGCACAGGTTTGTTCTAGATCCACATATAGAAAATCAGTTTAGTCCTGGAGTTGGGTTTTTTTTGTTTGCTTTGGTTTTGTCCTGTAAAAACATACTTGGAAAAAGAAGCAGAACAAGGATGGAAAATCTGCAGGTTCTGATAAGCCAACAGAAAACCAAGGAAAATTTGTTGTTGTTGAAAACAGGAACTATTTGGGGTTGTATGTAAGATATAAGAGTTTAGTCGAAAACCAGTAATTTACAAATCTAGCTACAACTTCCAAATGTGGGTTTACCTACACCAAGAACATAAAAAAGTCTACAGATCTCTAGTAGCCTTCGAGATACATGCAGTGAATAGCAAAAATTCACCATGCTTTTTTCAGCAGAAAATAGTAGCACAGGAAGTTAAAGAGATAGAAAAAAGCTCAAAGCAGCACAGTGAGAAATGATTCTGTTTCACTCTCTCAGAATTGAAGAATAATTCTATGAAACTTAAGCAAATGCGGTTTTGAAACAAGTTTGGTCTGTGAAAACTTTTCTAGCTAAAATAGTGCTCATCTGATGAAGAATAAATAAAAAAGCTGAGGACATTGAGAAGTGATGAGGAAGGGAGAAATAATGCAGGTCTTAAAAAGAGACCCACTAGCTGACTGTACTTGGTCTCTGTGCAGTATTTTACCCATTACAGGGACATCTTTGCACTGTATTTGAGAGGGTGCAGACAATCTCCCACTAGCAGCTTTGCATTTTTTAAAAGAAGTGAAGAAGCAGTCATCACCTCTCTCTGACACTCATTTGTCTCAGGCTGCATCAATGGAGTCTCTCTCAGTGTCAACCAACACCTTCACTCTGGACCTTTACAAACAGCTGAATGAAATTTCCAAAGGCCAAAACATTTTCTTTTCTTCTTGGAGTATTGCAACTGCTCTCGCCATGGTCTACCTTGGTGCAAAAGGTGACACTGCAACCCAGATGGCTGAGGTAAGCTCTGAAATTAGCAGTATATCACCTTACAGGTGGTTCCCACATAAATCGCATTATTCGTCTGCCCATGGGGAACAGAAAGGAACAACATGGGAGAACAGTGACCTGCCATAATGTTGGGTACAGGAGATAACCCCACTCATGCTGCCAGCAGTCCAGCAGGTCACTGCTCTTCCACTTTATTTCCAAGATCTCCCTGCTCTGCACTACCCCTGTGTTTAGCTTATGCTTACAGTTCCCAGAGCATTGCAGGTGGTCTGCCAGAGGGAAATTACTGACATTAGAGACTACTGCTGGTCTTGCTTGGAACTCTACCTTCTATTTTAATTGCCTTTTGAACAGAATAATTCACCTGATAGAGTGCTCAAATAGTAAGAGACAGCTTCATTAGCAAAATTAATACGGAGATATGATAATCTAGAAAAAGGAGTGCCAGAGATAAAATCACTGCTTCTAGACCCCAGCTGGTTCTGGAAGCAGTATATCTGCTTTCTCATATTGCATACCAAAGTTAGTAAGCTCTCAGGAACACATGTTGGGCTGCATAGGAGCAGTACAAATACCTTTGCTTGTGACACAGTCCATAAATAAGGTAATCCTCCCACAAATAATGAAGACATACTAGTACTGAAAATATGATTTCACTTATGTCTGTTTTAGCAGAACTTTTCGATCTTGTACTTTTTCAGGTTATATGCATTTACTTAAACATATAAAATGTATAATTTTACATTTCTGTTGTAGTAGTAAGACTCTGAAGTGCACTATGCTCTTTGTTGTTCTTGGTCATTATCTGAAAATAAATTCCATGTAGCCAAGCACGAACTGACCATTTATCTAAATAAATTCATATTTGAGCCATGATATTGATCTATTATTAAGCAGCAAATGTGACTAAAGTCTATATAATAATGATACAGTTATAGAGACTAAATCAAGAGTAAAGTGTTGTCCTCAGTAATGTTTAATAGACTAACTGTCATTAGGCATGATTGGTGAATTACCATAGAAAACTAACATGATTACATAACACTCGGGCACATTTATCTTCAAAAAACAAGCTGTCTTTATGAACTTTTATCATCATCACAGGTTCTTCATTTTAACCAGACTGCAGGAAAAGAAGGTTCGTCTGAGACAACAAGGCCTTCTCTGGGGCGACCAAAGAAAAGAAAGATGGTATTTATTACAACAAAAGACTCAGATAAAAAAATCTCTGGGAAAGGGATAGTTCATCACAACTACTGCTTTAGCCTTCTAACATTTTCTTGTCTTCAGTCTGTATCTACTGTCTCACTTCAGTAAGAACTACATACAGAAAGAGAAAAAGCGAACAAGCAGTTAACATTACCAGGCCTTTAAAAGCAGAACTGAGACACTAACAGCACTTTGATTGACCCTTACACTGTGTTACTTGGTTTTAGCTGGTCTATGGCAATATCAACAAGTCAACTGTCCTTAGGACAATTCTCTCTCTTATCAGCTTCAAGGTTTTTCTTCCGTAGTGAAAAACAGCTACTGCATTCACACCTGACTCCAGCCCTACCACCTTTTTCATGCATGGGCACATTGGGCAAACAAAATTCCCCTTTAAGCTAACACACGCTTGTTCATCAGCTCCCCTGAGACTTGCCACCAGGAGGAACTGCCCAGATCTTTTTCATCAAATGAACTCCCTAAGCACCAAAAAGCCTGTAAACTCAAACAAGCCATGTTTCTTTAGCACAGAAACTAAAAGAAAGCTCAAAGAAACTAGATTAGACAAATGGAAGTAAAAGCGGGGAGGAGGTCATATCTTTCTCTCCCTAGGTGGTAGGGGATGAATCTTCAAGATGAACCATTACATCCACATTCATTTTAGCAACTCACTGACTTTCTGAGCTGTAGCAAAGTCTGCCTAATCTGGTCCTTCAGGCATTTCCCTGCATTACCTCTTCAGTCTGTTCCCAGTCCCTTGCAAAACCCAACCGCTCCTATCCTGTGGCCTCTGGTTACCAAATTCTTTCCCAAGTGTCCTTCCTAGCAGCCCATGTGTCAGCATGAGTGAGAAAAGACCAGGGCAAGGAATGCCACCTGACCAACCTTATGACAAGTCACCATGAGTCAGTGGCACAGACTCTCAGTGTCTCACATGCAGGGCATGGTATGTGCCATGGAGGAGGAGACTGCACCCAAGCAGCTGGAGGGGAGCAGCTGACAGGTAGCAGCTTATTCCTCCATTAGGGAAGCAACAGCTGGCAACAGCTGGCAAGCAAGCTCATGTTCCCTAAACCCATCAACGTTGACATCCAGGACAAGCTCCCTCCAACATCCAAACAGCAACAGCAAAATTCATGTGAAAACAGAGAAAATCTGAATAGTTGATAAGTCCATGCCCTGAGATTAGTGTCTGTCAGAACTGAGTACCTCCTCTAAAGCCGCAAGGCTGCCTTGATGGGCCCTTGTGACACTGAAAATTAGGCCTGACCATGACTGAAATGAGGAGATTCAACTTCCTGGGTGCACCATCAGCTGATGTCCCCAAAGGCCTACGCAGCACTGCAGAAATAGATGATCGCCCTACAGACAGAAAATAATTTGTCCAGTTATACATAGTGCTGCAAACATGCAACATACTCAAAAAAAGGGCTCCATCCCTGTCCTGGTTTTGTCTGGGATAAAGTTAATTTTCTTTCTAGTAGCTGGTACAGTGTGTTTTGGATTTAGTGTGAGAATAATGTCGATAACACACTGATGTTTTAGTTGCTGCTAAGTAGCACTTATCCCAAGTTAGGGATTTTTCAGTTTCCCATGCTCTGCCAGCAAGCAGGTGTACAAGAAGCTGGGAGGGACCATGACTGGGACACCTGACCTGAACTAGCCAAAGGGATATCCCGTACCATAGAACGCCATGGTCAGTATATAAACTGAGGGGAGTTGGCCAGGAGGGGCCGATCACTGCTTGGGCTTCAGTCAGTGGGTGGTGAGCAATTGCATTGTGCATCACTTGTCTTTTCTTGGGTTTTATTTCTCTTTTTGTTATATTCCTTTTCACTACAATTATTATTATTGTTACTATATTTTATTATTATTGCTATTATTATATTTTAGTTTAGTTTAGTTATTAAACTGTTCTTATCTCAACCCATGAGTTTTACTTCTTTTCCCCTGATTCTCCTCCCCATCCCACTGGGAGGGGGCAGGACCGAGCAAGTGGCTGCATGGTGCTTAATTGCTGGCTGGGGTTAAATGTCAACAATCCCCTGAAATTCCTTTTTAATTAAAACAATCTGGGCATTTTAAATAACCACAGCAGGTGCAACACTTCAGACAGAAAAAAAAATAATTCTATATTGATTGGTGTCTCTTTACAAGGATCCTGAGCACAAGCAAGCTGAAAACATCCACTCTGGCTTCAAAGAGCTCCTGTCTGCCATCAACAAACCCCGCAGCACCTACTTGCTGAAGAGTGCGAACCGACTGTATGAGGAAAAGACCTACCCATTACTGCCTGTGAGTTGAACATTTTTACTTAAGAATATTTTGACATTAAGAGGGATCGTCAACAGAGATGATAAAAATTTTCCACGTGATAGCACTGTGGTTTCAGTGAGAACATGAGGACAGCCATACAGGGCTAGCACTCCACGGACAAGAGGTCCATTTGTCTCCAACAGTGGTCAAGAGTTTAGGAAGCACATGGGAACAAGGCACACAGTATAGTGATGCTTCTCCAGAATCCGCTCTGGTCATCGAGCGATCTGCAGCTCAGGGACTTCCCAAGCCAGAGGGCATGTCTACTTCATAGACCTTGATGAGCTGTTCTTTCATAAATTTGCAGACCTGCCTTTTGAATCTACCACAACCCTCAGCACCAGAAGTTCCACAGCTGAACTATAGGAAGCGCCTGTGTTTTTTGAGCCTGCTACCCGTTGGCATCATTATTGGTTTGTTTTTCCTCTAAAGGATGCTTCTCCATATTTCAGTCATCCTTGTCTCCTGTTTCTGTATCTTTTATACTGTAGCATTTTTGAGACCGGGGAGGCCAGTGCTGCGTAGAGAACTCAGATAATGGGCACACCATAGCTTTATACAGTGGCATTCTAATATTCTTTTTTTTGTTCCCTTCTCCTTTCTTTGTAACTCCTAAAATTGTATTTGCTTTTTTGGCCACTATTGGGCAGATTTTTTTCATGCAGCTGTCCATTATAGCTTCAACACCTCATTCCTGAACAGTAATAATCACTCTCTCTAGTGTACCCTTCACTGGATCATTTATAAATGTTTTAATAAATATATATTTCAATGTAAATATTTAAACCTGTATTTTATAGAATAAATATTTTAGCACAGATCCCAGCACGTATAGCTGTGGCAGTCCAGTAGTAACAACCCTTCACTGTGAACACTACTTCCTCCTACTCTTGGTTTCCAGCCATTTAAATAAACAAGACCTATCTGTGCAGTCCCATGGATGCTCAGCCTTTGGTGAGAAGTCTTACAAAATGCCTTTTGGTAATCCAGATAGACTGTAATGGCTCAATCTTCTTACTCAAATGCTTCCTGACACCTTCAAAAAACTCTAACAGGTTTGTGATTTAGGACTTCCTATTACAAAATGCTGTTGACACTCTTCCAATACGTCATGTTTCACCATACGCCCATTAGAGCTATTCATTAGCCCCATACAGACTCATGAGTTTGTAATTACCTATATCTTTGAAATCTTTTAAAATCATCTTACAATTTCTTGGAAGGTGGTTTTAAATGAGATCATTGTTCTTTGATCTTGGGTTTTGTTTTGATCTCCTGAGTAACTAGTAATTTGTCCTTCTGAATGCTTATTGCTCATTTTCTCCCTAATCTTACGTACCTATGCTTTACAGAGAATCTAGAGAATTTCCTGCTGGGAATCTCCATGAACTGTTTCACAGCAGACAGCAATGCAAACCTTAATTCTGCTTTTCTGCCATGACTTTATTCTACCAGAACATTCCCTTTATACCTCCACTATTGTCTTCATAAACTCTTCTCAGGTTCCTTGCCTCTGAAGCAAACTAAAAGCTTTGTTTCAACTTTTTATGAGACTTATTCTTGCCTCTTGTACTGAACTCTACATCATAAATCAGGAAAAAAGCATTTAAATGATATAAAATGTAATTTTGATAAATTAAAAAAAAACTGTGAAGAATGTTTGTTTTATGTGATATTTCAAAATTACGTATTTGCACTTTAGATTTCAAACACAAAAATTTGAATTATCAGTTTCCTTGATACTGAAGTTTGATCAGTCCTTACTTAATATTTAGCATAGAATTTTATCAGACCTTATCTGAAGGGTTATCCCATTTCAAACAAATTATATTTTTTCAATTATTTATTAGTAGATTGTATAATCTGTTGAAGCGATTATTTCTAACATTTTTATAACTCAAATTTAACTAAATAAGCATACATTTTCCAATTCTATCTTTCAGAATTTCTTACAGCTCATTACAAGCTATTACAATGCAAAGCCACAAGCTGTAAACTTTAAGACAGATGCAGAACAAGCCAGAGCACTGATCAATTCATGGGTTGAAAATGAAACTGAGAGTAAGTACCACTCTGATGGCTTTTTTCTTGTCTCACTTTCAAATTGCAGGCATTTCCATTTATTGCTCTTGCAGCCAAGGATCCATAAAAGATGGAAGCTCAGCGGGGGTGATGAGCAAAGTGCAGTTAAATAGCTTGAAGAATGCCTCTCTCCAAACCTAACTGCTGCTCCTTACAAGGTCCTTCCCTTGATTCTTCATGCCGTAGCCTCTTCTGCATGATTTCTGTTCAGAGAGAGGTACAGGTAGATAGATACTGAGTGGCTCCACTCTGATTAGTGAGGGTTTTACTTCTGCATTCTTCAGCTGCTTGCAACTAACTTCACAGAACATCCAAGCTATTCCACTTTAGCCACTTTACCCACTTTCCAATGCCATTTACTAATGAAATTGCAATATATTAAAAAAAAAGATATAGAGATACATCAAAATCCATTTTTACTATATGTACACCCTGAAAAATGCACAGTAAAAGCCCCTCCCAAATGCAAACATTTTTACTAGATAGGTAGGCACAGAGAAGGCACAATTACAATTGGCGAGTTACACAGTCACACTGGAATAACAGTTCTATTTGTCTGATTTTGAAGGGAAAATACAGGATCTGCTGCCTGCAGGATCTCTCAACTCCCACACTGTGTTGGTCTTAGTAAATGCCATTTATTTCAAAGGAAACTGGGAAAAGAAATTTCTAGAGAAAAATACTTCTGAGATGCCCTTCAGACTGAGCAAGGTAAATTCCTTGTCTATATGCCTGTTGTCCTATGTCAATGTGTCTATTAGGGAAGAGCAAGAAACTTCTAAATATTACACCTGCATTTCGTATGTCACTGCAACACTGCTTATAGGTGGGCAGATGGTATAAACTCAGTGAGAACTGCCATAGTGAAAATAAGTCAGCATTATCTTATTTGTGCATATCCATGAGAATAGGATTTTCCCTTCAATAATAGCTCTTTGGTATCAAAACACCAGAGAACACTGTGCTCACGTAGCTTAAGACAAGAGGAAATTTCCCGAAGCACCAAGATCCCATTTTCAAAAGGGACGGAGTTGCTTTTGAGAGCAATGTTTACACACCAACGTCTCTTTTCTGCTTGTGAGACACAGTCTATACTCTGAGTTCAAGGAAACTGAACCAGCTCTTCTTTCCTCACACACCCTGGGTGTTGCATAAAACCTCGGAGGGAATTTTCACAGGGGTTTGACTTTAGGTGAGTGCGTGAGAATGATGTATTCAGTATACACTGAGGGCACATTATTGAGCTAACAGTATTTAAACAATCATGCACTGACCATTCACAGTAGCTGACTGCATGCATATTTTTGGAATGTGTCGAAGGCAAGCAAAATTAGTTGTCAATGGAAGCAAGTATCTTGTTCGACATAGATTACGAATGCAAACACCTTTTGTATGACAGGCAATGTGAAGCAATTCTGTTGATGATGTGACAGTATATCTGAAACCTACTGTGCTACACGTGCGGTTTTAGGATCCTTCATGGTACATGGCTGTGGTGGGTTCACCTTGGCCGGCCACCAGGTGCCCACCAAGACTCTCTATCACTACCCCTTCTCAACAGGACAGGGGGAGAAAAATGGGATGAAAAGCTTATCGGTTGAGGCAAGGACAGGGAGATCATTTATCAGTTACCATCACAGGCAAAACAGACTCATTTTAGGGAAATTAATTTAATTTATTGCCAACTAATCAGAGTAGGTTAATGAGAAATAAGACCAAATATAAACCACCTTCCCCCCACCCCTCCCTTCCTCCAAGGCTCAACTTCACTCCCTACTCTTCTACCTATCCCTCACAGGAGTGCAGGGGGACGGGGGAATGGGGGTTGGGGACAGTTCATCACACGTTGTCTCTGCCACTCCTTCCTCCTCATGCTTTCTTTCTGCTCCAGTGTGGGCTCCCACCCATGGGATACAGTCCTTCATGTCCAAATGGGTCCTTCCCACAGGCTGCAGTTCTTCACAAACTGCTCTGGCATGGGTCCCTTCCACAGGCTGCAGTCCTTCGGGAACAGACTGCTCCAGCATGGGTCCCCCACGGGGGTCACAAGTCCTGCCAGAAAACCCGCACCTGAGTGGGCTCCTCTCCATGGGGTCACAGGTCCTGCCAGGAGCCCGTTCCAGTGTGGGCTCTCCATGGGTTGCAGCCAGGTGGGCACATTCACCTGTTCCAGCATGGGGTCCTCCATGGGCTGCAGGGTGGATATCTGCTCCACCATGGTCTTCAGCACAGGCTGCAGACGAATCTCTGCTCTGGCGCCTGGAGCACCTCTTCCCCCTCCTTCTTCACTGACCTTGGTGTCTGCAGAGTTGTTTCTCTCACGTTTTCTCACTCCTCTCTCCCAGCTGCTGTTGCACAGCAGTTTTTACCCTTTCTTAAATATGTTATCACAGAGGTGCTACCAACATTACTGACCGGCTCAGCTTTGGCCAGTGGTGGGTCCGTCTTGGAGCTGGCTGAAACTGGGTCTGCCTGACATGGAGGCAGCTTGTGATGTCTCCTCACAGAAGCCACCCCTGCAGCCCCGCAGCTAAAAAAACCTTGCCACATAAACCCAATACGTTGGTGCACAGAGAGGGTTTAATTCACAAGGTACCCAACAGCAAAGCCTGCAAACAGATAGCCTTTTGTGTGCAAATGTAACAATGTAAAGGAGAGAGTCGATATATTAATAAAAGCTCTATGAACATAATACAGCATAGGAGTTCAGACTGTTGCTAATAGTTCAGACATTTGCTAATCCAGTCCTCTGTGTTTTGGGGAAGAGGAAAAGGCAGCACGGGTCACAGAAAATATGGTTCAGAGGCAAAGTGAGACAATCAGTATTGCCTGGAAGGATAAAATAGGCAAAAGATTTGATGCCATCCAGGGGAAGAAAGTCAACATTCTCTCCCCCCCCCAGCCCCAATCAAGGCCCTCACTCCAAAAATGTAACCCTTGGGAGAAAACATGAAACACTTACAGTAGTTACTTGCTTAGCAAAGCTAACTCCTTTATTTTAAAATGAGAAATATATTACATGTTATTCAGTTAGCAGGTAGATAGCATATGTGTCTATGCTGAATTTTGATAACAATCCCAATGACTTTGAAAAGGGGTTGTATGTGATACTGTCCAAAGGAAAGGGTACCAAGTATCCAAATACTGCTGAGTCTTGTACTTGTTTACAAATTTTTGCTTTCAGTTCAATGAAGAAAATAAACTTTATCATCCATTTTAAGGAATGAATTAACACTATTTTTTATGTCTGAATTTTTTCACAGACCAAGACTAAACCAGTACAGATGATGTTTCTGCGAGATGAATTTTTGATGCTCCATGAAACAACCATGAAATTCAAAATCATTGAACTGCCATATGTGGAAAATGAACTTAGTATGTTCGTTCTCCTACCAGATGACATCCATGATAACACTACTGGTCTGGAGCTGGTAAAACTGACCTACTGTTGCATCACATATACTATGAGACAGTAACAGATGAAAAGAGTGAGGAAGAACGAGCTTCAAAATCAGGGTAGAATAGGTTCTGATGGGTGCATACTTTGTTTCATAAACTGTAACACCATGATTTCTCAGCTTAGGATTCAGGGCATCTGATAACATTGCAAACATAGTATTTTACTTAGGGATACATCTAAAAACTATGTCCACACACCTGTCTTAGCCTATTTTGTGTCCTCTTTTCTAATGCCATAATAGCACAAGGAAAGCAAGGACCAAATCTGAATCACCTTGCCCTGCCGTTGTCTTCTCCTGAGGGCTGCATTAATTCGTGTTTATGACATTTGCAGTCCAGATTTGCACCCGATACTTTGTGGTGAGGTTTCTCATAAGCGCTAACTACCCTGACCCAGAAGGTATCAACAGCCACTCATGACCACACCAGGATCAGTTTCAGATTCTAAACAGATCAGGGCAAACATCTTTTTATTTGTACCTGAGGTGCCATGTGTTGCACTTATTTACCACTACTAAGAGAAAAGTTACCCATATATACACATAGCAAGTGCCTGTTAATATCATTATGAGTCACAGATTGCAGAAAAGCAGTATTCTTCGCACCAGAAAAAAAATAATTAACTACTCTGAGGGTTCAGGCCTATACCTCACCACCTTTAAGAGAATAAACAGCAGTATAAGTCACTTGGCACTTTGCAGGATCATGCCCAATGAGCGTGGCGCACATTCCAGCTGTACCCACTGCTGGTAGCTGGGCTTTGTTTTACACGTTCTTGATGAGCGTTAAGACACTGGTGTGTGCATGTCTTGTCTCTGTCCTTTGCATTCCAACTATTTTCTTCCTCAACTCATTGCAGGTGGAAAGTGAGCTGACCTATGAGAAATTGACTGAATGGACCAAATCAGCCAATATGATGAAAGCTAAAGTGGATCTGTACCTGCCTAAGTTGAAGCTGGAAGAGAATTACGACCTTAAATCAACTCTGAGCAGCATGGGGATACGAAATGCTTTTGACCCAGTTCAGGCTGATTTCACAGGGATGTCAGTGAAGAAGGATCTTTTCATCTCAAAAGTTATTCACAAAGCTTTTGTAGAGATCAATGAAGAAGGTACTGAGGCAGCAGCTGCCACAGGTGTCCTGGTGCTGAGATCAAAAGCACCAACAATGACTTTTAAAGCTGACCACCCTTTTCTCTTCTTCATCAGACACAACAAATCACAAACCATCCTCTTCTTCGGCAGACTCTGCTCACCCTAGTCTGAGTTACTCCTTGCCCTGCAGAGCAGGAGACACTCAACCTTGCCAGCACAAACACCAAAATCTGAAACTCCTGCTGCAACTGGGGGGAGCGGGACCTGAATCCTTTCTCCATCAGACCACACACCCCAGGGCCCGAGGCACAGCTCCTCCTGTACCGCCCTCCTACCCTGAAGGGACAACCATGGCAGTGCCAAGGGGAGCGCACGATGCCTGGCATCCACAGAGCAATCCTGGTTGTCTTTCAGCCCAGGCCATCAAGGGTAGCTCTGTCCTAACCACTATTAGCTATGGCTTTTCTATCCCTTCCCCTCACAGCAGTGTCTATAAACATATGCTAACGCAGTCCCTTCTCCTCACCCTCATGACTAGAGCCCCTGATCCAGACGTGGTCTCAGCACTTACTCCCAGCCCGCAGCAGTTAGTCCAGCTCCTCTTTCGCCCTTGATTAGGTCCTTGCATTACAGCTGGAGGCAGGCAGACCCTCCCTCCCTCCCTCCCCAAGGCCTTCCCTCCGCATCCCAGCTGTAAAGTCTTCATCAGCTCCCAATTTAAGCTCAAATAAGCATCACATGTCACTCCATTGATTCCCTAAAAAAAAAAATTTTTTAAAAAAATTAAAAAATACACCTCTCTAAGGGCTATTTGCATCACTCAGACCCTCAGGTATGCGAGGAGGGGCCAAGCCCAGACGGTCTCCGGCTACAGCAACAGCTCACTTTCGTTCAAAACAACCCCCACTTCAGAAATAATCATTAATAATAATAACAACCCCTCACGGACTGCAAGTGTTTTCTATCCGCTCTGCCACAAGAGGGAGGCTGAGGTGAAAACCCACCAGTGTGGCGAGGCGAGGCCTGCGGAGATATTAAGGGGGGGGGAAGGGGGGCCTGTGATGGTTCCCCGCGGCGGTGGCGGACATTTTGTCCCGAGGGGCTGTGGCGGTTCGTCGACAGCCACCGGGGAAACGCAACAGCTGCCGGCTAGCCCCGGGGGCACGGCTGAGGCGAGGGCCGAGCTCCCGCCCTTTCCCTCAGCAGCGCCATATTTCCGGGGAAAGGGGAAGGGCCCCGGCAGGACGGGACCGCGGCGCCCGCTGGGGTGAGTGCGGCGGCCCCGTTGTCCCGGAGATGCCGTTGCCGTTTCCTACGGGAAGCTTGCGCTTGTGGTTTTTGTTGTTTTTAAGAAGTAGAGGCTGCGTGGCGTTGCTTTTGTTATTTTATTGGGGTTTTTTCCCGTGACGTGGTTTGTGCTTCTCGTCCGCTGGAGTCGCAGCGGTGCGCAGGGAACGCTTTTTGTGCGCAGGAGGGACGGGGACGCCCCGGCAATGTTGGGTTTTAGCGTCTTTTTCTGGCGCTAGGTCCAGTGCGGGGGCGGAGGGAGAGTCTTTTCGCCCCGGGGGGGGTGCCCAGCCCGTGGCTTTTTTGTGCCGGAGCCTGCTAGGACGGCGTCCGCTCTGCGGGGCTCCTCTCGGCCCCTGCTGAGGCCCGGGGGCCGCCAGCCGGCGGTGGGGGCCGGTGTCCTCCCCCGCCTGCTCGCCTTTCCCCTCCAGAACGCCCGCGTTGGTTCGGAGGGTGGGCAAAGGGGTGTCCGTGCTGCAGAGGCGGCTTCCTCGGCGGCGATGGACGCCGCCCCGAGCTCCCCCTCCGGCTGGGCTTGAAACGGTCGCCTTGTGACTCCTCTGAGGCAGCTTGACCCGAGGTGGGGAGGCATCCGCGCAGGCGGGGCCCCGACCCGTGTCGCAGTCGTGGTGGGATGTGTCTCCTGGGCTGCAGGCCGGGGGAGAGCTGCGCCCTGCTCTGGACGGGTTCCCCCCTTGGTAAAACCGGTAGCTGGGAGGAGACGCTGCAGGGTGGATCGGCCGTTTAATCTGGATACAGGCTTTCTGTCCATAAAGAGTGCCCTAAAGCGTAGGTGTCTGCCGCTGAGAATATATGCTTCGAATTCATGGTGGTAGGAACACACAGGGTCGGGGCACCCAGAGACCTCCAGGCGAGTGCCTCGCCGCTGACCCGCAGAGCCTGCGGGGAGACCAGGGCGAGGAATGAGTTGCTGCCAGCAAACCTCTGATCACTGAGGGGTTTGCAGGAAACCGTTTACAACTGGCTGACAAACGTGTTTGTATCATATGGGTTTTGTTCCTTAAAGTGCAGTTGTGTATTGTCTCCAAAACTGCTCTGATGAGAGGGGTATCAGTAGTTAATGTTGCTATTCCTGAACTGCAGGGAAAGCGTGGATAACTGTACAGATATAACTCCTAGCCTTGTGTCCCACCTGTTGAAATATTACTTAGTTTGGTTAAATGCACTGATTTTTCAGGTAGGCAATTGGTGTGAGTTGCGTCCTTTTGTCTGTAAATTATTGCCTGCCATGGAAGCCCTGCAGAAACTTTCTAGATAATAACTGCTTGCTGCTGTCATTATTCCTGTGCGTTTTGACCTCCAGGTCAAAAATCGTCACTGCTAGCAATCTGCAGGTATTGGGACAGTAGGAAAATTCTTGTCTTCACCGTAACTAACACAAACTGAAGATGCTAAGTGCCTCCTGCTTACGCTGTAAAGTACATGTAGTTAAATTACTCATTTCAGACAGAATTGGAAGATTGTTTCCATCTAAGCTTGCCTTTTTTTTTAACCCCAGTTATGGGAGAAGAGAAATGGGAGGAAAGTTGCTACTGTTTATAGCAAAGCTACTAGCAAGAAATTTTCTTAGGTGGAAGAATGATGCATGGAGAAACTTGTTCCTTCCACCTATTTGAGGTAATGAATCAGTAGTATGAATTAGGTGTTGGTTTTGTATTTTGTAGCAACACATCAACACTAGGCACTGCCTTAAGGGAAGAACAAAACACAGAAACTTCTACTACCAGCTGATATCTTACCTGTAGTTAACTTAGCATTCTAGTATTTATTGCTTCTTTTATAGGTATGTTGTTTAATCTCAGGTTAGTTAACTACCTACATAGCCGATGTATGTAGAGTATGACAGGCATCAAGTTACACATATCAAAGGGTGCATGTACAGTAAAACCATAAGAAGGTTTTTCTTATTGTGTGTTTCCGTGTTGCAGGCAATAAAATGGAACTGAAATGGACTTTGATTTTTCTTTGTACTACAGCAGGAAATTACAGTAATTTGTCATGCTGACCAAATAACATTTTTTTTCTTTTCTTTTTTAATCTTGTAGGTCAAATCATTCTGCTGACTTCTCCCAGACTGGCTGTTAGGTTTAAAACACAGCGTGCACACGTATAAGTAAGCTGAAGGTAATACTGAAGATATATAGACTTAGAGAAGGTAAGAGTTTATATTCCGCCATTCTGATGCCTAACTCTTTGCTCTGGCTTTCCTATAAAGGCAAGTAATTGTCTTTGTGAAGTCAAAAGAGACTTGTTTTAATAAGTCCTAAACAAAATATTGTTGTATCTGATCATCTCAAAAGATGTAATATTATTTACGCAGTGAAGAGTCTAATGACACCAGTGGGAATTGCTGTCTCTGTTACAGGTATGGGATTGAAATACAAAAGCAAACAATAAATCCCTAAAATAACTGAAGTGCCTAGTATGGAATTTAAGGTGCTTGTTACACCAAATCAGTTTTTCAGTGAGTTGATAATTTTTCAACCTAATTACAGCATTTGCTGCATAGTTTATACTGGGAAACGTACAAGGCAAATAACTTGTGAGCTTGTATTCAAATAAATTTGAGCCATTCTTGTTTTGTGTTTTTATCTCCCAAGCTCTGAACCATGGATAACCTCTGTGCAGCAAATACCACTTTTGCACTCGACCTCCTAAGAAAGTTGTGTGAGAACAGAAGCGGGCGGAATCTATTCTTTTCTCCTTTTAGTATTTCTTCTGCTTTGTCCATGATTTTGCTGGGTTCAAAAGGTAATACCGAAGCCCAAATAGCAAAGGTATGTCTAAATAAATTTAGTGTATTGAATGTGATGGGACCATATGAGCAACAAATCTGCATTATAGTTTGTGACCTGCACTTAAGCTAAACTATTATTGTCATTCTGGTCTTGGAGAGCAGAGGTCTTTGTTTGGTATGTATGTAAGCAGTATCTGTTTTTAATGTTTTTATTAGGGGGAGCTTCCTTTGGTATGAAATTAAGAGGTTTCTGGTTTTTGTTGTGTGTGGGGGGGTTTTGTGGCTTTATTTTTTTGAGACAGAGAGAGCTTCCTTCAGCATGTCATTAAGAGGTACCTGGATTTTTTTTGTAGGTTTGATGAATCTCTAGCTACATAAAATATTTTCTTCCACTTTCTTCTTTGGGCTTAATATCAGATTACACGTGTTTTGAAAGTGTGGCCAGGCACATTAAAAAAAAATATATTAAAAATGTGAACATTGTATGCATGTCGGAATGGTAGCTGCACCTTGGTTTTTTTTTAAACTTGCTCAGGTGGCAAATACTACTTGGTGTATTTTTTACATACACAATTGACAGTATTAATTGCATAATCAGTCACTTTTGTATTACGTTTGCCTCTTTTTCAAAGTGGAAGAGGAGTATAAACACATATTTTGCTTTCATTTAAATCTAAAAAGTTTATCTAATATTGTATTATATTATTGCCATGCTTGGAGATAGTCAAAAGCTGTCTGGGCATAGTCCTGGGCTACCAGATGTAGATGGCCCTGCCTGAGCAAGGAGGTTGTACCAGAGGTCCCTTCCCACCTCAGCCATTCCTTGATCCTCTGATGTTTGGCTTGAGCGAAGGAAACTAAATATTGCTGATTCTTCTGCTCCCTAATTTATTACTTGTACAACATCTGGCTGGGTGCATCGTATGTCACTTGCATGATAAGCTCCAGGTAGAAGGTATGATGAGAAATCTTTTGGCTTCAAGTCACAGTTTTTAAACCCAAAAGTCATTAAAAAAACCACAAAAGTTGTACTGAAGCAAGTGTGTTTAGAGAAGGCATGGACTCTGCTGAGGATGTTTGTCTTTCTGCAGGTGCTTTCTCTGAACAAAGCCAAGGATGCTCACAATGGGTATCAATCGCTTCTCACTGAAATTAACGATCCAAACACCAAATATATACTGAAAACTGCTAACCGACTTTATGGAGAAAAGACATTTGAGTTTCTCTCAGTAAGTAACCATTAAATTTGTGGTGTTTTTCAGTATAATGTACTTGCTACCTGTTTCCTTTGGAGGCCAAAGGCAGGCTTTGGGTTTTACTTCCCAGGTGTTCTAGGCTGAGACATACCAATGCAACAGATTATGTCAGAGCCTGGTATCTGAACTTGGTGGAGAAGCTCCTTTTAGATAACCTGTGATCTGAATGCACAATTGGTGCAGACCACTATAAAATCGACTCTAAATCTTCATGGCTCCATGATCCATTCATATTTTTGGCTGTGAGACAAATGGTCGACATATCTCTCTTCCCTTGATTGTGTGTAAATAGGAGAGAAAAGAATTGTTATTGCTCTTCAGTGTGGGCAATATTTCATAGTTTTTCCGTTATGTAAGTCATCCAGAGATCATTCTGAGAGGAGTGTGTGACTTCTAATATTTTCCTTATAAGAAGATCTAAATAAAGATAATAGGTGTTGTGTTACACATGTGCCTTTAGGTGCTTCCCTAGAAGCAAGATGTAAGGCTTTGTGGTTTTGTTTTTTTCCTCTGGGAGTGATTTACAGTGATTCTTTTTATGAAGAATGATAGTGTTTCATTTGTCTAGCAGATAAAAATTACATGGATTGTATTCTAAAACTTTGCGTCTGTGTAATAAAGATCTAACTATATTAAATCAGAAGGTATGTTTTTTTCCTCTCTAAGAAAGATCAGTTTACCCTCTGAACTAAAAGTTTTCTATTAGTCTGGGAGGTTTGACATTGTAAGCTTCTCTCCACATAAATTTCAAAATCATATGTTCTCTCTCTGAAGCACCCCTCCTGCCCCCCCCCCAAAAACCCCAACCCTAGTCACATCATTTCTCAATTAAGTTATGTAGAACTTTGTAGCACAGTAAACAAGCCATTTAACTTAACATACAGCGGACAATTCCTAGTTCAGATAGGTGGTATAGAACCTAATAGGAACATGTCAGACAAAACTTTAATGGCTTTGTATGAAGCTGGGGGACAAAAGTGGGCAAATTTTCCTCGTGTATTTAAGAATCATCTGTGGCTGAATGAGAGTAAAATACATTGCTGAAAAGCTGTTCTGAATGTCCATGTTAGTCATTTATAGAGTTGAGTCAGAAATTCTACCATGCTGGACTAGAACAGACTGACTTCATACAAGCTTGGGAGGATTCCAGAAAACAAATAAATGGCTGGGTAGAGGAAAGAACTGAAGGTGAGTATTTTGCAAAATGCCATGGTGTATTTAATGGCAGCCATGGCTTGGGTATACAGCTGTTTCAAGATATAATATTGTGAATTAAAAAAACCCAAACATTGAGCTCTTGCTCTGTTTGGTACATAATTCTCTTGTCTATTGTATATTAATTACAGAGTAGATACTATATTAGATAAGTTTGACATGTATCTAATTATTAAAAAATGTGGGTTTTTTTCTATGTATCATAAAGGTAAAATTCAGAACCTGTTGGCAGAGGGGATTCTCAATTCACTGACCAGACTTGTGTTGGTGAATGCCATCTATTTCAAAGGCAGCTGGGAAAAGCAGTTCAACAAAGAGAGAACAGCAGAAATGCCATTTCAGATTAATGAGGTATGATGTGCTAAAATGCTGACAATACACTGTTACTCTGAAGTACTCTGAAATTAATACATTTAACTCTGAAGAAAAAAAAAATCAATCAAGCACAAGGTCACCCTGGGTAGGCTGTATGAAATTCCTTGTACCCCCTCCCTTTAATATGAACACTCTCTTTGTTTAGTTTCTGTTAAGTTTCATATGATTACTAGAAACTTTAATATAACAATTAAGTATTTCTTTCATTCTGTCTCTTTTTTCCTTTTATCCTTCTTGTTTGAGAGAGGTAGCCCTCTACATAGTTACAGAACTTAGAACTGAAGAAAACTGAGAGAAGCTGTCAGGCTATTTGAGTGTTGTGAACAATTTCGCAGAAGTCAGTGAACTTGATTATTTCAGCATAAAACTGGTGTGGATAAGAAAAGAAATTTTCCTTTGGGTTGTAGAGCACTTATACATGTACAGAAACTTCTGAATATAGGTCTTCTTCAGTCAGTGCTTTTTTTTAGTGCATTTCTACTACTGAACTGATCCAAAATAAATTAAAAAAAAAAAAACCCAAACAACCCTGCTTTGAAGATCTCCATGCTATACTTTCTTGCTTTTAGAAGTAGATCAGTGCTCTTGAAGACTTGGCTACTATAATTAGCAGGCCATGGCTGCCCCTCAGAATCACCTCAAACTCTGGGTGTGCCTCTGCATGTCATTAACAAGAACTGGTAACATGACTTCCTTAACTCACTTGCTTAAAACAAACACTAGGCAAAATTGAAGCCCTCATGCCTGACTTCCCCAGTGATGTTATGTATCTAAGAAACTTCTAATACCCCTCTTCAAATAGGGAATGTTACTGCTCACCCCTTACTACCTACTGTAGCACTTCAGAAACCACTGGACTGACTTGGTTCCTGACACCTTGCCCTCTCTCTGTTGAAATGTGTTGAAAAAGCTAACAGGCTATCCAGATACACTATTCAGTTTTCTTTTCCTTGGACCAGCGCAAACCTAGGACCAGATTTTAAGATGCAACACCAACAGCATGCAGTGCAGATGAATAATCTGCCTTTTGGTTTGTGATGGAATATTGTGTAGTGCTGCCACATGAGGAAGGCTTGGCATTGGTCTGCTACAGAGATGTCTCAGAAAACCCAAGCTTACAGATTTGCATAGGATTCTTTCCCTCCTGAGGAGGCAAATTCAGTGATATTTCTGTGTTGGGTACTGTGCTATGGTGAGCTCATGGCCTAAATCTTAATGTTCCTGAAATAAGGCCCGCCTAGCTCTGAGATTACCTTTTTCTTTGTAAATATAGAGTATATTATATATCTTTTTAATATTAGAGTCTTGGGGATCCAGATAACTATTGGAGAAAGTTGTAAGATGTAAGGTGGGGGAATGCTGCCTTGGCTCGCCCAAGGAACTCAGATAGGCAAACAACTGCAAATCTCTTCGCTTGTAAAACTAAAGGGATTAAGTTTGTATTGTCATCCTACTAATGACTAGCCACTGATGAGCTGCAGAAGTGTGTGAGTAGGCTCAAATGAGGAATTGGAAATCCCAGGTGTAACCTGAAGTTTTAAGCTAGTTATGTTACAATCTGTCCAGTAGCAAAGAGTTGCTTTAACATCCCAGGAGTCTTTCCAGCATCCTGTGACACTATTTCTGTGACTCTTGCACTTCCTATGACTCGCTGGATGATTTTCACATGCTGCGTGGCCTTTTCTTTGCTTATCCGTCCTTTTCACGTGTCATTGCTGCTGCAAAATAGTTTCTGCTGTGTTTGCTGTGGACATTGTTTTGATGGGCTTTACTTTAAAAACAAAAACCTACTTGCATTGTTATCTCATGAATGTAAGGGAGAAAGCAATGAAACTTTCTTAAATGAAAAGGGGGAAAATAATGATGTAAACAATAGTAACTGATGCTCCATGTGAAAATGGAAGGAGATAGAGAATTAAATTGAGAAGACACATCTCTCCCCTCCTCACTGTCCATGTGACTTTTAAGAATTCAAAATAGCGCTCTCGCTTTCTTGGCATTTGTAGTATAATTTTAAAATATTTTAATTCCTCTTTGTTACAGCATTTGGAGCCACATGGACTAAAAATGCAAGTACCTACATTGAAATTACTATGTATTCATTTAAAGCGAGGAACACAAGCCCTGTTTCTCAGCAGCTCTGTTTAGTGCTTGTTATTAGTTTATAAGTGAGCAAATGTGTATCCTTGCCTCTCTGCCTTAAAGGAAACTTAACAGACATTTCCACACTAGTAATTAAAATTAAATCTCAGGGATACTTACTTCTTACCTCTTGCTTTATGAAAGACAGTGGTGGGGGTGTACTCTGTGGTGTGTTTAGTTCTCTAGTAAAACTCTAAAAAGCCCTAACTGGATGCCTGCTTTGCATTTTCAGACTAGCATACTAGCTCAGTACTAACTATTGACATATCTTTATTTTTAGAAAGAGACCAAACCTGTGCAGATGATGTTCAAGAAGGATAGATTTAACATGACCTATATTGGGGACTTCCAGACCAAAATCCTTGAGCTCCCTTACGTTGGTAACGAACTCAGCATGATCATCCTGCTCCCCGATGCAATCCAGGATGGATCCACTGGCTTGGAAAGCGTAAGTTGTTGAGCTAAATGCAAAGATGGTCTGTATCCTTCCAGGGAAGAAAGTTTTGATATTGCATATAGACCTACAGTTCAGTTCCAAAGCTGTTATGTCATTGGTACTCAGCACTAGCTGAAATGTCCCTCACCTCCCTGCCCCCAAAGTGATTGACATGCCTTGTATCACCACTGGTCAAGCTGTGTGCTGCCCCCTTAGCCTGAGGCTCCAGAAGGAGGCCTGACCCCCTCCTCGGGAGCAGAGGTTAGCTGTGATTATGGTGAAGGCACAGTATGGTGAGCATCATACATGGTGAGAAGGGATCTGGGGGAGCTCTTTAGGAAGTCGTGTAGCTTGTCCCATCCATCTTCTGTTCTGAACAGCTGGCAGATTCTCTGGCCCACCACCTGGAAAGGGCGCACAGGAAAGTGTACGATCTCTTCTGGAGGCATGATACAAGTTTTAGCTATTTCATTCTCTGGACAAGGAATTTATTAACAAGGTTTTTTAACACTGACTGCAAAGTGCCTTGTGAGCAGACTTTTTCATCAGTCTGTAAACCTGAAGGAGGATGCTTTGGTTAAGAGACAGAAGAAGTGGTTTCAGTTTCTTTGGGACCTTGTCATCAGTTCTTTTGTGCCTTTGCTTCCCATATGTAAAAAAAACCCCACCCAATCTAACATGTTTTATAAAAGTAAACTGTATGTGGAAGGGACTGATCCTTATTCTATCTACCAAAAAGCATATGGGACTGATCTTAGCTGGGGCTGTAGTCCCTAGTGAGAAGTGTAACTTGCACTTTTGGCTTGAGAAACTCTAAACCCTGGAAAAAAAGATGCGTGTTATGCACGATGTAAACAAACACAGGAATCACTACTTTTGGCTGTGTAAAACTGATTCTTTTCTAATTTTAATGATGTAAATTTGGGGTTTTTCTTCAGCTGGAAAGAGAACTTACGTATGAGAAGCTGATAGATTGGATCAATCCTGAAATGATGGACTGTACGGAGGTGAGGGTGTCTTTACCCAGATTTAAACTGGAAGAAGATTATGATCTGAAACCCCTTCTGAGCAGCATGGGAATGCCCGATGCGTTTGATTTAGGGAAGGCAGACTTCTCGGGAATCTCAGCTGGCAATGAGCTGGTGCTCTCTGAAGTGGTTCACAAGTCTTTTGTGGAAGTCAATGAAGAAGGCACTGAAGCGGCAGCTGCCACAGCAGGAGTGATGATGATGCGCTGTGCAATGATCGTTCCAGAATTCACTGCTGATCATCCCTTCCTCTTCTTCATCCGGCACAACAAAACTTCCAGCATTTTGTTCTGTGGCAGATTTTGCTCCCCCTAAAAAGGAGATGCCTTGCCGGAAGAGCTGCCATTACGTGCTAACTTTCTTTAGAATAGGGCTACTCTTTTTGCATCAGTGTCTTTCAGCTGTGCCTGAATCCACTTCTGTGGTCTTCATCTCAGGCTTGGATAGAATAACAGAGCTACTTAGACATACACAGCAACTGCTATTTAAAACGGCTCTTGCCCTGTGCACCTGAGTGCAGATGTCTCCAACTTCTTCCTGACACAAGAAACGTCCCTCTTGCTCAGTGAATGCTTCGTCTGTTCTTGCAGTTCCCATTGCAACTTCTCTTTTTGTGCCTAGCAGGCAGTGGTGAGTCAGGCAGTGACATCCAAGGAAGGGAATAAATTAATTTTGTTTCTGACAAGGCTGGAGCACATCTTTAGCTCCCCTCCACCTTTTTCCTCCCATCCCCAGTCTTCCCCCCCTCGCTTCCCTCCAGACTCATCCATTTAATGTTTTGATACATTCCCCAGAGATGAAAGGAGTCTTTGGCAGTCTGTTCCAAGTGTTGCTAAGCATCCTGACTAGACAGATTCTTTTGTTTTTTGTAATAACTGGACAAGCACTTGGGCAAGAATGGAAATAAAAGTATGTCTTTGTACCAGATGCCCTTATAGGGTATTCAGGGGCTGAGGATCATTGTTTTGTCACCACAGGACACCTGGGTTTATTACCTATCACCTAGTTCTAGTCCTTTAACAAAGAACGTAATGAAAAAGTATATGGTGCCTATGCAATATTGAATGACAAAGCTTTATTTTTTTGCTATTGTTATGTATTTTTCTTATTCATAGTCTCTTAAACATTTTATTTTAACTGAATAATACCAAAGACATACCTTTCCTAATGCAGTTGTTTGGTTTGCTGTTTCTGTTCCTGAAATAAAAGAACTAAAATGCTGTGGTACCCTGTCTTTTTTTCCAACCATAAATTATGCATTTCATCTCTAGCATGAAGAAAACAATTATTTATTGATAAAGTACAAGCTTCTACGTAGCTTGGTTGGCGTTCATTGTTAAACATGGGATTTTTGGAATACTGCCAACCTGAGGTGCTTATTTGGGTTGCCATTGCATTGGGGGTGGCCTTGCAAGGACTTGCAGCGAAGGGGTCCCAAGCCAAGGTTTCTGGGCAGGACTGTGGTGCTGTCTCTGCTTATGCACAGCTCCAAATCAAGGCTCGGTGGTCATCATCCACATGCTGCTAGATTGCCCTGTGCTTAATTTAGTGCAAAGTAACTCAGCTGTCTGGGGTGAAGACAAGAAAAAGCATTATTTGAAGGGGGGGGGGGAACAACCACTGCACTCCAGTTAAAGGGCTGGTGCTCAGCACCCCAAGCCCGGAGATGCACTAGGGGAGGGGTGTGTTCCTGGTGGATGGGGAAAAAACAGCGGGTTGAATCAAGGAGAACCCTCCATGCCTTAACAAAGCAAAGGTAGCTGTGACCTAAAAGTTGAGCATAGGCAGAGCAGCGCGATGGGAAGGCAGAGAAGTGCTACCCTGGGCGGCCCCGGTGCGCTTGTCCCACGGGGCAAAAAAAACCCCAAACCACCCAACCCTGGGCTTTGGGGGGTTTGGTTTTTAATGGCTCTCCCG